GAGAAAGTTCTTGATCTGGCCAAAGTCCTTGGTCTCGAATTTGCCCTTGAGCTTGCGCTTGAAATTGTTGATGATACGCTCTGTGCTGCCGACAAGCAAAATGTCATCAACATAGGCCAAAGCCCATACAATGTCCGTGTCCTCCTTGTAGACGTAGACGCATTCATCCTGTCGCAGTCGACGACATTGCATGATGTCACGCAAATACTTATCAAGTTCGAGATACCAGGCACGGGATGCCTGCTTCAGGCCATACACTGCCTTGTTCAGCTTGGCATACTCACAGCCACCGAGTCCAGCCTCCAGACCACGAGGGACTCGGATGTAGATGTCCTCATCAAGTGGCGCGTGCAAGAACGCCGTCTTGACATCCACCTGATGCACATGATAATGCTGGTAAGTAGCAAGCGCCATCAATGTGCGGACGGTCGTCATGTTTACCGTCGGCGAATACGTTTCATCGTAATTGATGCCTTCGCGCTGCTTGAAACCTTTGGCAACGATCCTGGCCTTGTAGCGGCCATCTTGCTTGATGTCAAATACCACTCGCAGATCGAGCAATGCAGCGTTGGGCTTCTGATCAAGTCCAGTCATGACTTGATGTTCCTGAAACGAAGCAATCTCATCGTCCAGAGCGCGCTGCCATGCTGCGGCATCTGGGCGAGCCAAGGCCTCCGCTACTGTCTGCGGCATACCAGTCGTGCTGTAGCATACTTCAGCTCGATGACTCTGGAAGCTCGGGTTTGCCTGAGCTTGTCCGGCATTGCTGGCCAATTCGTTGACGTCGGCATTGCTGGCCAATTCGTTGACGTTCAGGCTGGGTTGAATTGCCTTGTTGCGACCACCCAAGGCAGAGCGTCGCTGGGCAACTCGCCCACCAATGCCTGGGGAATTTGACGCCAATGGTGCAGCGGGTGAGCCAACCTCAGCATTCACAAGCGGGGCTACCATGGTTTCATCGTCGCTCATTGCTGGACTCGAATTTGGCGAGGCAAATGGAGTGTCAGTCTCCTGGTCATCTGCCTCCAGCACATCTGTGCTTGTGTCTTCATCATCTTCTTGCGGTCCTTCGTCTTGCGAGTCATCTTCATCATGCTTCCAGGTCTGCATCGAGGCGAGTGATGGCAAATCCACATTCTCCCCCTCATCACGAGCAGGGGGGCAAAGCTTCAGGTGTACCGTCTCGATCATGCGCCTGGTGTCCAGCATGTAGACTTTGTGTGCCAATTTGGCAGGGGAAAATCCCACGTAGACCCCTTTGCGGGCCTTTGGACCAAACTTTGACCTGCGGTGATCCTTGTCACACACGTATGCATCTGCACCAAACGAGTGCAAATCGAGTAGCGCATGCGGGTTTTTACCATGCAGCAGTTGATAGGCCGACATGTTGTTGTACACGCTCTTGACCTTGATGTTGATCAAGTACTCGGCGTGCTTGGCGGCGAAGCCCCAATAGCCCTGGGGCAGCTTGCTGTCGGCTAGGAGCAGGCCAACCATGTCACGAATCTCACGGAACGCGTTCTCAATCGCTCCATTCATCTGCGGCGTGCGAGGCGGGGAGGCACGCCATGAAATCCCAAGCTCCTTGAGCTTGGTTCGAAAC